CAGAATTTTACACCGAAAAATTTAACAAACTACATTCTTTCTCAGATCTTTAAAGGGAAAGTTTGGAAATGACTCATGTATTTTGATCATTATTTTTGTTCCTAAAAAAGATGTAGAGAATAATCACAATCGTATTTAAATAAGGCAGCTGCATCAGGCAAGGCTTTCGAACTCAGTTTCAAGAAACACTTCTGCTTTTTGCTGATTTATTTCGCTAACACTTAGCAAAATATTATTTTCATTTACATCACTCCAAACTATTTTGGTCTTTACACCTCCTGTGCCAAATAAAATCCTTTTGTCTAAACCACAGACTTTGAATTAAAAAAAATACTGAGTATATTATCAGGCTTTTGCTGTATAAGAACCATAAAGGCCGGAACTGTAATAATTCAGTATCTGTGGATGTTGTATTGAACACACTGTAACTTGTGAAATCCTTCTGCATCATTTCCTGGCAACCGTCCAACAGGAAATGAATCTTAAATGTTGACTGTCAGAGATTATGAGTAACATTCTGAAACACAGGGGAAGGGACCAGCAGAGTGTCAGTGTTAACAGACACTTTGGCTTGTGACCAGGAACAGATCAGTAGCTCCCGTCAAATCCACCATGACAATAAGTCCAATTTTCCATTTTAAAATAAAATCAAAAGAATTGCAGATGCTGGAAATCAGAAACAAAAACAAAAATTGCTAGAAAAACTCGACAGGTCTGGCAGCCGCTGTGGAGAGAAATCAGAGTTAACTGAAGTTCTGAGAAAGGAACACTTAGCCCGAAATGTTAACTCTGGTTTCTGTCCACAGATGCTGCCAGCCCTGCCAATTTTCCATTTGCTGGTCCAACTGATTCCAAATTATTAATGTCAACTGTAAATAGCCGAGGTCCCAGCAATGCTTCCCGTAGCTGTCCACGATGGCCAACAGAAAAATGCTCAAATCTATACCCGTACTCTGCTTCCTGCCTGTTAACCAATCCTCTACCCACGCTGACATATTAACCTCAAGCACATGATTTTTATCTTCCCTACAAACCTTCCGTGTGGCATGATATCAAATACCTTTTGGAAATCCAGGTCTACTTTTACCAGCTCTCCTTTATCTACCCTGAAAAAACTCCTCAAAAACTTTTCAATTTGTCAAACAGGATTTCCCTTTAATAAAGCAATGTTGACATGTTCTACTCATATTATACTTAAAGTATGTGGCAAGACGTGCTTCATATTAATTCCAGTACTTTACCACAGCTCATGTTAAGCTAACTGGCCTACATTTCTGTTTTCTCTCTTCCTACTTTCTTGAAAAGTGGTGAAACATTTGCTAACTTCCAACCTGATTGACGTGTTTCTGAATACAAAGAATTTTGAGAAATCATAGCTAATGCACCCACTGTCTCTGCAGCTCTCTCTTTAGAACCTGTAGGCCACCAGGTCCCATGGATCTGTGAGATCCTAGTTCCTTAAGTTTCTACAATACATTCTCTCTGCACATATTAATGATCTTAATTCTCTCATTCTTTTATCCCCTTGGTTACCATCTATTTCTGAAATGTAACTTGTGTCTTGAGCTGTTCATGTCTTTGCCATTTCCTCATTCCCTGGGATAATTTTGCCTGTTTCTGCTTCTAAAGGACTAATGTTTGCTACTCTCTTTATTTCCATTTATTTCTAAGAAAAAAGCTCTTTAGGTTTAGGTTTAAATGTCTGGCTCTTTTATGCTCATATTTTCCGCATTCCTTTTTTTTAAAACTCGTTGAGTTTTGCAGGAATGAGAGGAGACTTTAATGAAACATACAAGATTCTTACATGGCTTGACACGGTAGATATAGAGGGGTTATTTCCCTTGTGGGAGAACTCAGGCCCACAGGACGTAACTGCAGAGTGAGTGGTCCCCATTTAATATGTAACAAGATCAGTATTTTCTTTCCTCTCAGAGGGTAGACAATCTGTGGAAATCTTTACCACAGAAGACTGTTAAAGCTGGATCGTTAAACATATTCAAGGCTGAGGGACAGATTTTTAATCAGTGAGGGAATCAAAGGTTATGGGGAAAAGGCAGCAAAGTGCACAGTGGCTCAGTGGTTAGCACTGCTGCCTCGCAGCACCAGGGACCTGGGTTCGATTCCATCCTCGGGCGACTGGCTGTGTGGAGTTTGCACATTCTCCTCGTGTCTGTGTGGGTTTCCTCTGGGTGCTCCTCTGGTTTCCTCCCACAGTCCAAAGATGTGCAGGCTAGGTGGATTGGCCATGTTAAATTGCCCATAGTGTTCAGGGATGTTTAGGTTAGGGTGGATTATAGGGGGATGGGTCTAGGTGGGATGCTCTGAGGGTCGGTGTGGACTTGTTGGGCCAAAGGGCCTGTTTCCACACTGTAGGGATTCTATGATTATCAGATGAGCCACGATCTCATTGAATGGAATGAATGAGTTATTGTCACATATATCTGGGGAGGTGCAGTGAGATGTGCTCTGTCGCCACAAATCAGTGCCATTTTGAGGTACAAAAGAATAAAAAAGGTACTTAAATAGAGTTCATCTTCATCAGCCAAGGTCTCAAACATGGCTCCATGACTTCTGCAAGGTCCCCGCTCTGGGCCTACTGCAGGCAGGTGTCCCCACCCCGCCATCAATGCAGCTGATGCTCCACCATTCCAGAAGTTCATTCATCAGGCCTACGAGCCAGGAGTCACTACTGACACACTGCTCTGGCCGCACCCCCTCCCCCACCCCACCCCATGTCAGGAAGATGAAGAAAAGAAAAAGTAACAGGGAAAAAAAAGGTCAGAAAGGAGAGAGAAGAAAAGAAAATAGCTGGCCTAGAGTGGACAGCTCAGCCTGAATACTACTTAATGTACTGCGCCACTATCATGAAATGGCATAGCAGATTCAATGGGCCAAATGGTTTACCTCTGCTCTTGTGGCCTTATCCAAAACAGAAGAAACTTTCGCCAGGTGATTTCAATGACCTCCAAAACAATTGATGATCAGGTGGTGAAGGACCAATGCTCCGAAAGCTTGTGATTTCAAATAAACCTGTTGGACCATAACCTGATGTTGTGTGATTTCTGACCTTGTCCACCTCAGTCCAACACCAGCACCTCCACATCATGGCTTCAAATCAGATTTCAGTACAGATGGAAAGTCAGTTAGACTTAGGTCTTTGATTGGAAATGAAAACGACTCAGCTTTCAGCATGTAAATGGATGTTGCAAAACAGATTTCTGAAATTTCCTCAGGTTTCTAGAAGATCTTTTATGGAGAAGTATATAGATTTTCAGGAGGGACAGCAAGTTTGTTTTTGATGCCAGTATCGCAGAGGTATATTCCTGCAACTGACACATCCAGGTATGTACTGGAACAGCAACTTTAGTTCAGAGGCTGTTGCTAGGTAACCTTTAGTCCAAGGTCCATCTCTTTCAAATCAAGTTTGTAAAGCAAATAAAGCCATTAAAGCCATCTCTTATCTCAGTTTAAAAACTTTGTCTTGCATTCTTTCCACAACATCAGTTGACATTTTGCAAACAATAGGTCACCATAACATGTTTTAACTTTTGTCATTTCAATTCCGAGAAGTTTCTTCAACCCAGAATTGTCCCAATCCTTCTAACTTCCTTCACATCATCACTTCTAATGACACCAATATTTATGAAAATAGTCCATGTGAAGACAGACGCCCCACAATAATGGCAATGCTTGTGTTACAACTCCAATGGTTTCTTGTTCAATGTTTTACCCATAAGGCCATAAAAAAATAGGAACAGAAATAGGCCAATTGGCCTTTCGAGCCTACCCTGCTATTCAACAGGAACTTGCTGATCCGCCAGCTCTCTGTGGCAAGGAGTTTCAAAGACTCAGAGAAGACATTCCTCCCCTTAGTCTTAAATTGGTGCCCTTTTATTCGAGACTATGCCCTCTGGTCTTAGACTCTCCCAGAAGACACTGGAGCAACAATGTAGTTGACCCATAAGTGCCCTCTGGGCAATTAGGGATGGGCAATAAACGCTGGCCTAACTAGTGACACCCTCATCCCGTGAATGAATAAAGAATAAAAGAAAAAAAATTAGGCCATTCAGCCCACTGAGTCTGCTCCACCATTCGACCATGGTTCAAATGTTTCACAACCCATTCTCCTGCCTTCTCCCCATAACCCTTGATCCCTTTACCAATCAAGAACCTACCTATCTCAATGACTTGGCCTCCACAGACAACTGCAGCAATGAGTTCCAAAGATTCCCCATCCTCTGGCTGAAAAGATTCCTCCTCATCTCAATTCTAAAGGGTCATCCCTTCACTCTGAGGCTGTGCCCTGGGTCCTAATAAAGGCCCAGAGTCCTCATCCACTCGTAATGTGACAAACCCTTCATCCTGGGGTCATTCATGTGAATCTCCCCTGGATCCTCTCCAGGCCTGCACATCGTTCTTTAGATAAGGAGCCCAAAATTGCTCACAATGTTCCAAATGGGGTCTGACCACAGCCTTATACAGCGTCAACAGTATGTCCCTGCTACTGTAATCTAAACCTCCTGAAGTGAATGCTAACATTGCATGAGGGGAAACATCCTCTCAGCATTGATCCTGTCAAGCCCCTTAAGAATCCTAAGTGTCTCAATAAGATCACCTCTCATTCTTCTAAACTCCAGTGAGTAGTGTCTGTTTAACCTGTTTAGTCTTTCCTCATTGGACAATCCCTCCATACCAGGGATCATCCCAGTGAACCTCCAACAGTACAACTACTGTTTGCTGATCTATAAAATACTCCCACCAGTGTTTTCTGCCTCTTGCTATTGATCATTTCCATATTAGTTGGTACTGACACCGACCCTCCCAACCCCTAGACACCGGCCCCATCCCAGCCAACACTGACCACCCCAATGATGACACCCACCTCACGGCACACCCCCCTGACAACAAGACACTGACTGCCTGACACTGACTCCCTGACCCCAACAACCCTGACCTGTCCTGACCCTGACAAAGGTGGAGCTTGTACACCAAGAGCTGACCTTCAGGAGCTCCCCAACGGTGGTAAGGGGTTCCTGGGGTAAGAGGGATGAGGGTCGCAGTGATGGGTCCTGCAGCAAATCCAGCCTCGGGCGCTTGCCATCTGCAGATGCTCCGTCTCGCTGCCTCCTGGCACCCAGCAGGTAGCTGTGGGGCTCATGTCTCTGCCGCTGCTCAATGCTCCTACAAGACAAAGGAAATCAGAGCTGACAATAACATCGGGTACAGAAAACTGACACAGAAACATCAGCAAAACCCCAGCAAGCAGCTCCTGCCCGAGATTAAATAGAACATTCAATACTCAGAATAGCAACAACACGAGGGCTTCAGAAAAGACCAGAATGTTGACCCCTGCTATGTTCAGATTGTGTCAGAGTATCCCTGAGAGCAAGCTCCAGTGGTCACAGGGACCCTGCCAAGTGTTTCCATGAGTCACCATGACGACTCCAGTCCAACTGAAGACATGTGCCAGATGTTCAGAATGGCCAATCAGGGGCTGGAGGTTTGGGCAGCCCTGACGAAGGTGTAAACCTGAAACGTCAGCCTTCCTGCTCCTGTAATGCTGCCTGGCCTGCTGTGTTCATCCAGCTCCACACTGTGTTATCTCTGACTCCAGCATCTGCAGTTCTTGCTATGTCCAAGTGTTGAGGGTGGACACTGGCTCGATGATGGTTACTCACTGAGATGGGGGAGGATGACCAAGCCAGGCCAGGCGGGACTCAGTGATGGAGAGGTTGGAGTGTGGGGAAACATTCATCAGCAATGGATTAGCCACAGGAATGGTCATCGTGGCTTAAGGTCCCTCTGTGACCGAGGGTCTGCCTGACACCCCCAGAACCCATTGGGGAGGTTTACCAGGAGCTCTCCCTGCATTTTGGTGAGGTCTCACTATCGCCAAGTGGGAGCAGAGGAGCGAAGCGACCAATTAATGCCTTAATTAGATACTGACCACTGGTCAGAAGGTATGCATGGCACTGAGACACCTGCTTCTGGTGGCTCCCCTCCCAATAACCTTCTCATGTCAGTTACAAAGAACATTGCCTCCCACCTTTCAGATAGGGCTGGAAAATCCAATCAATGCATTTTTTGATTAACTATGTTTTTCTTCGTTCTGCTTTAAACAAGATATTTAGCAGCACTTTTGATCCCAGCAGATTCTCTGCAACTGCTGACGTTGAATCATTTTTACACAAAGTCATTTGCAATGTTTTCACTTGGAGCAAGAGGAATTTGGTACAGAATTCGGGATGAGAGATTGAGAGGTTCTTGAGCAAATTGACACGGAGTGAGGAGGTACTGGAAGTTTTGGCAGGTTTAAAATGGGTAAATTCCCAGGTCCGGGTGAGTTAGAACAAAGAACAAAGAACGATACAGCACAGGATCAGGTCCTTCGGCCCTCCAAGCCTGTGCCAACACATTCTGCCCTTCCATACTAAAACTGTCTTCACTTACAGGATCCGTATCCCCCTATTCCCTTCCTATTCATGTATTTGTCCAGGTGCTTTTTGAATGCTGCTATAGTGTCTGCTTCCACCACCTCCTCTGGCAGCGTGTTCCAGGCACTTACCACCTTTTGTGTGAAAAGCATGCCTTACACATCTCTTTTAAACTCCTCCCCGCCCCCTCCCCCACACCTTGAACATGTGTTCCTAGTAATTAACCCCTCCACCCTGTGAAAAAGCCTCATACTTTCCACTCTATCCGTGCCATTCACAATCTTATAAACTTCTATCAGGTCGCCCCTCAACCTTCTGCATTTCAGTAAAACCAAACCCAGTCTATCCAACTTTTCTTTGGAGCTAAAATCCCCATACCAGGCAACATCCTGGTGAATCTTTTCTGCACCCTCTCCAAAGAATCCACACCCTTCTGGTAGTGTGGTGACCAGAACTGTATGCAATATTCTCAGTGTGGCCTACTAAAGCTCTATAAAGCTGCAGCGTAACTTGCCTATCCTTTTATTCAATGCTCCTTCCAATGAAGGCAAGCATGCCATAAACCATTTTTACTGCCTTATCTACCTGCACTGCCGCTTTCAGTGATATGTGGACCTGCACACCCAGATCCCTCTGCACATCAATACTCCTAAAGTTTCTGTCATTCACAGTATAATTTCCACCTGTACTTGACCTTCTGAAATGCATCACCTCATATTTGTCTGAATTAAACTCCATCTGCCATTTTTCTGCCCATGCTGTACAGGACGTTGGTTAGGCTACAAGTGGAGTACTGTGTGCAGTTCTGGTTACCACACTATAAGAAGGATGTGATTGTACTGGAGTGGGTGCGGAGAATATTCACCAGGACGTTGCCTGGGATGCAGCATTGTAGCGATGAAGAGGGGCTGGATATGCTCAGGGTGTTTTCTTTGGAGCAGAGAAGCCTCTAATAGACTTATCTGATTGAGGTGTATAAGATTATGAGGGGCATGGGTGGGGTGGATAGAAAGCATCTGTTCCTCTTAGTCGAAGGGTCAATAACAACAGGGCGTAATTTTAAAGTGGAAGGCAGGAGGTTTACAGCGGATTTGAGGAAAAGCGCTTTCACCCAGAAGGTGGTGGGAATCTGGAATCCACTGCTTGGGAGAGCAGTTGAGACAGAAAATCTCATAAACTTTAAAAAAGTACCTGGATGAAACATCCTAAAATGTCACAACATTGCAGGCTGCAGGCTAGTTCTGGGATAAGTATGGATTTTGGTCAGTAAATTCGATGGATTGTAGGGCTTGTTCTGTACTGTGTGGTTCTATGAAACTGTTACTGTATCATCTTAAGCAGTTTAAAAATGTTGCTGACAATCCCCATGACAGCAGTGTTTCAATGAGAGGAGTTGGACACTTCAAGGCTTTCTCAGAGGCTGTGTTCTCTTCGGGAGTCTGGATAGAAAGAAAGCATTTTACAAACTGCTCTCGTTATGATAACAATCAGGCACTTCTCGCCTGCACATAAGGGATTTTTCATTGTGCTACTGGATATGCAAAATCCAACACAAACAGGTGGCATATTAACCTGTTAGATCAGTCTGTGTAGAATGATTAGCATAAACTGGAGGCTTTGTCAAGGTGCATTTGTCAAAATATACCAAGTTTCTGAGCCACAGGTACAGCAGGTATTAGGCAACTTACAGTCTGCTAAGGCATCAGAAATAAAACTCCACCTTGTGAGTGAGCTTGAGAAGGCAAAGCTGTTATTTTCTAAAATCTTATCAAGTTAGGTAGCTGTACCATTTTCAAACAGGAATCACTTTTAGCAACAGTTGCAATTGAAAAACAAAACCAAGAAGCCAGTCTTCCCCACACTCCACACATTTCACTGATATTGACAACATTCCTTTCTCAATGTGTGAATACAGCTGGAAATCCTCAATTACTTCATCCAAATTACTTTGGGTTTACAAATAAATAAATGCTCCTGGTAAAATTACTTTGCACTGTGAACGAAGAAGAGCCAATCCGTTTTAATGACTGGAACTCTCAGAACTGAAAATGAAATTGCTCGCATTCCTCCAGTAGATCAGAATGTTTTTTATGGCAATTATTGGGGAACTTCCTTATGTTGCCTGTCCAATATCTTCATGGAGTTAATCTAAACCAATTCAACTCTCACATTCACAGACTACTGCTTGTAAAATGCTCGTGATGTATTATGTGTTGGGACAGCCCTCCTGTAAGAGGTCAGTCACATGACACTGGTGAGCTTGTACTGACTAGTTTCAGGTTCTTACAGAAAGCACAGCTTTGGAATAAAGCCTCCTTGTCGTTTGCAGAAAACAATGAATTTGCCTGTGCTTTAGTTCTGGCTGGAGCCTAGTACCTATCCAGTACAGAATACTCAGCATCGGCTATGTACAACCAAAGTCCACGTTAGTACTGAGGGAGCTAGTAACACACTGTCAGAGGGTCAGCGTCGAGCGAGTAACGCACTGTCAGAGGGTCAGTATTGAGGAAGCAGGCAATATCTGAGGGTCAGTTCTGATAAAGTGCCGTACAGTTGAAGAGTCAATACTGAGTGTGCACCGCTCTGTCAAATGGTCAGTAGTGAAGGAATGCTGCATGGAGTACCACACTGTATTTAAGTTACACTGTGCATGGTCTGGTGTTATGGTCCTGGGTGAGGCCCCAGTCTTTGTTATGACCTCAGTTAAGACCAGTGCTGCTTTTAAAGAAGTTGAAAGCTAAAATCCCAAAACATGTACTGAAAGAATGAACTCAGAGAGATTCCACAATTTGAACAAAATTCAAGAAAAGCAGCTACAACATACTACCTCAGATAATTTCTTAATCTCTAACAGTCAGAATCAATCTTAGTTAAATGCAAATTTACAGCCAAATTGTGGTCAATTATAAATCATTAATTAAATGGCAGTACAACTGAGTGAGATCTTATGAACTGAATTCGCAGCCCACTCAAAAATCCTTCAAAACCTTGCCTTCCTGACAAGTGCTGTTCCTCCTCTTCAAGAGTTTTGCCTGAATCCTAACCAACGGCAGCACACAATCAATGCGAGATCCATAGAGACAGTTTTTACCAAATGGGACATGTTTGTAGAAGCTTGTCAACTTGGCCTGGATGATCTCCAGGGTTACCTTCATGTAACAGAAACAGCTGCAGCAACTATGTCTTAGCTTATCTCAGCTGGTGATCTAGCCTCTCCTGCAGCCTGCTTGTACTGCACTACTGGGCTCATCACTGCCACCCATTGAGATCTGGTGCCGTTGTTTCCTTATAGAAAAAAAAAATTTGCGTTTCCAATCCAAGTTTTTTTTTTAAGAAGTGTTAAGATCAGTTTTCTTCATAATTTTCCCTTTTCAGTTTTGGTCTGTCTCAGAAAATACAAAATTTAACCACAGATTCCAAAACAGTAACTCTCTTCCACTCTTGGCTATTTGCTCAGTAATAAGTAGTAGTCTTGGTAACAACTTTATATTCTATCTAGTCATTGTTCCATATGTGAAGAAAGTTTGACCCATTTTAAAAACTGTGCTGCTGTCTCAGTTTTCATTTCTCTGATTTAAAAATCATTAGTGAAGGTGGACATGCAAAATACTTTTTCTAAATTCAGATCAAAATTTACCTTCACTAATCTGAAGAATCTGAAAGTACAGGAAGAAACTGTCCACTGCCAAATCTATTTGAGTTATAATGAAACATTTTGATGTGAATTGACTTGGAATCCATTATATCTATTAAATGGAGCAGCTCACAGAATCTTGCCGATTACAAGTTTCCGCTGTGATACAGGATATTTTGCATTTTAGATTAATCACAGGACAGGCAGCACTACCGTGGCATTGCAGACCTTGTAGGTCAGGGAGTGCAGAACCCCATAGCTACCAGCTCTACACAAGTGAACAAGGTGCTGGTTACTGTCAAAAGCTGAAGCAGCCAACGTCAGTTTGAAAGGTTCAGGTTTGTAGCTCAGGATAACTCTGGCAAGTACTGAGTTCAGAACAGATTACCCTGAACTATCACCTTAAATCAATCACCACATTTGTTGATTTGACTGTGTCATGTTCATGCATGTTTCCTCTTAGGACATTCACACAGTGATCTCACACTGATCAGTGATCTTATACAGTGACCGTTCAGTGATCTACAGTAGATCATGACCAGTGATTTTATACAGGGACCATATATTTATCCTATAGTATATAGTGATCAGTAATCTTGTACGGTGTTCAATCTTAGGCAGTTATCACATAGTGATCAGTGATCATACACAGCAATCTAGAGTGATCTTACACAGCAATTGACCAATGATCAACAGTCGATAGTGATCAGTAACATAATGTCGATAGTGATCAATAACATAATGTCGATACTGATCTTACAGTTTAAATCAGTGACTGCATGGTGATCAGTGATCTTTTATAGTGATCTTATACTGTGATCCTTCAGTATATAGTAATCAGTCATAAAATAATCTTTAGTGTGTAGTGATCAATGATATTGCAGTGATCACACAGTATATAGTGGTCATCTATAGTGATCACTGAGTATATAGCGATCAGTGATCTTGTAGAGTGAAGTTGCAGTATATTGTGTTCATTGATTTCACAGTGATCGTACAGTGATCTTGGTTCATTTTGATCAGCAATCTTATATAGCAATCATAGTGATCCACAGTAGTGATCAGCAATCTTATAGAGTGATCCTTTCATCAAGGAGGACAAGGGCAGCAAATGCATCGGAACACCACCCCCTGCAAGTTCCTCTCCAAGTCACCATCCTGACTTGGAAATATATCACTGTTCCTTCAGTGTCACTGGGTCAAAATCCTGAAATTCCCTCCCTAATAGCATTGTGCATCAACCGACAGCACATGAACTGCAGCTGTTCAAGAATGCAGCTCACCCCCACCTTCTCAAGGGGCAACTAGGGACAAGTAATAAATGCTGGCCAGGCAGTGACGCTCACATCTTTAAAAATCATAGTGATCTACAGCACATAGTGATCAGTGATCTATACAGTGGTTTACATTACGTAGTGATCAGTGAGCTTGAAGCATATGTGATCAGTGATCTAACACAGTGATCACAGTGCTCTACAGTATGTAGTGATCAGTAAGCTTATACAGTGATCATACTGAGCTACAGCATGTAGTGAGCAGTGATCTTATGAGGTGATCATACAGTGATATAAGGTATATAGTGATCAGTGATCTTATACAGTGATCATAATGCAATGTGGCAATATGAAGAGATCCCCAATGGTTAACTGGGTGATTGTACTGTATTCTTATGGTTTATCATGGTCATTGATCTTATACAGCAATCATACAGTAATCAGCAATATAATTATCAGTGATCTGATGGAGTGATCATACAGGGATATTGAAGTATAAAGTGATCTGTGAAGTTGTACTACCATTGTACATTGTATAGTGATCTTACAGTGGTCTGAAACAGTGATCTGCTGTACATGGTGATACGTGATCTTCTACAGTGATCATACATTGATGTTGCTGTATAAAGCAATCCGTGAATTTATACTGCAATCATACAGCACTTACAGTACATAGTGATCAATGATCTTATAAAGTGATCACTGTATACTGTAAATCACATTATAATCATTGTATTAGATCACTGATCATTATATAATGTTGATCACTTTGATCAGTGATCATATACAATGATCACAGAGTGATCTACAGTATATAATCATGCGATATTACACAGTGGCCATACAGTCACCTACAGTATGTAGTAATCAGTGATCTTACTGAAACAAACTCTGTTGTCAGTGATGTACAATGGAAAAGTGAGGACACAGAAACTCAGAATTATAGGAGGCATTGAGCACCTCACTGAGATCTTTCAGCCTGTGAGCCAGTTTGCAGTCAAGCTTCCCAAAGGGACAGCTTTGAATCCACTACTTTACTTGATGGTTATAAGGCCATGGTCTCAGATATCAGGAGCAGCACTCTCATGTTTTCAGTTGAACTGAAATTTTGCAAAGTGGCACAGAGTGTTGAAGAGAGTCATCAACTTATCATGAGACAATTTTCAATCCAGCTTGTTTATCAACTAAATACCTACAAGGGAAATGAAGGCCAATATTCCAACAGAATTCTTCTAATCAGGAATGTTCTAGACAAGATAGAGGTAGACATTGATTCCTTCAATAATTTTAAAAAGGCGTCAGATAGGTGTCTTTGAGGATGAGGGCGACTAACAGTGAGAATGGGATGAGGGACTACACACAATTGCTCCTCCAAGGGGCATGAGCCCACTGGATTACTTGTAAATTTTGATGATTCCCTGATTATCGGAAAGACACTAAAAAGGAGACACCAAAGAAGATCACCTGAAACAACACCAGAATCCAGAGGATTTTCTGAAGGAGGAAAGCCCAAAATTCAGAATTCAAAGCATGTGGAGAAGGTGAACACGGGAAGCTGGTTTCTAAGGAAGGGTCACCAGACCCGTAACGTTAACTCTGTTTTTTTCTTCACAGATACTGACAGACCTGTTGAGCTTTTCCAGCAACTTTGTTTTTGTTGGAAGCTGGTTTCTATCACTTAATGAATCACTGACAAGGAGGTGAGGATTAGCTTTTGAACCTCGAAAAACATGGCAGGAGGAGTGTTATTAAAAGAAGTATGGGACTCTATATCATTTCAAAAGGAAAGGTTGAGACAGTTTATTGATGATACTGAGGTTAATGAAACCTCAACACAGTGAGTAACTGAGGTCAGATGGACTGGTTTCTGGGAACAAAGCAAAAAGCTTCTGAGGAAGGATCATTGGACCCGAAACATTAACACTAATTTCTCTGCATAGATTCTGCCAGACCTGCTGAGCTTTTCCAGCAATTTCGGTTCTTGTTTCTGGAAAGCTAAAACTCTGATTGGAAGTTAAGGCCCTTACCGGTCAATTCCTGGCTGGAATTCTGCCAGTAAGGAAGGTCTCCGACGAAGATGATGGGTTAGATTTCCAGCAGATAAGATGGATCCATAATCCCTGGAATGACTGGGAAACTCAGAAACTCTGATATCCTGGAAAAGAAAATTCATTTTACTACTTGAAATTGTTTTAACTTCACAAATATTTCTTAGTGAGAGGGAAACAAGAACTAAGGTAAGTTCACCACAGTCTTACTGGAACATAGGGCTGATGTCTCATTAGAGAGAGAGATGACTGGTGGTGGTTTAACACGAAGCTTACCATGTCTCAGGCAAGGGGAGAGATTGGTCCCACGGGGTAACGTCAGCCAGTGTGGGAACTGAACCCATACTGTTGGTATCACACGCCAACTGTCCAGCCAAGTGAGCTGACCAACCCCCACCTGGAATTACAGGCTGTATTATGGCAGGGTCTGAGGTTAATGTCTGTTGTGGCTCATGTTGGTGACAATGTGATGCTGAACACAATTCTAGGATAAAACCTGGGGCACCTCAGAATTCTGTTTAATTCTTTCACACAAGATGTGGGTGTTACTAACTTGGGCAGTATTTATTGCCTGTCCCTAGTAGCCCTTCAGGTGGTGAGCTGCCTTCTTGAACCGCTGCAGTCCACATGCTGTGGGTTGACCCACAATGTCCCCAGGGAGGGAGTTCCAGGATTTTGACCCAGCGACACTAAAGGAATGGCAATATATTTCCAAGTCAGGATGGGCGAGAGGTTTGGAGGGGAACTTGCAGGGGTGGCTGTAGGTTTGTGTGCTACCCTGATTCCTAGTGGTCTTCTACGACCACGAGGACAAACACTCACAAGGACCAAAGACCCCATATGTACGACATGCAGGACCAATGAGCTGTACAAAATACCATATAAGGACTGCCAAAAATATTACATCAGACAGACAGGAAAGAAACTAGCCATCAGGATACACGAACACCAACTAGCAGCAAAACGACACGACAAACTTTCTCTCATATCAGTACACTCAGGCAACAAATGCCATCAATTTAACTGGACCACGTGACCATCCTAGGTCAAGCCAAACATAGACACGCACGGGAATTCCTAGAGGCCTGCCTCTCCACCCATAATGCAATCAGTAAACATGTGGAATTAGACCCCATTTACAAACCCTTGCAAAGAAGAACCAGAAATGACACAAAACACCTCAACAGACCAGATCATATAAATACTAAGCAGAGTAGAACTACATTGCTTCATCGGAGGCTGCACTGATGATGGTACCTAGCATGGTGACAAGAAGTGTGAACGAAAACAAGCCAGCTCGGCGAGCAAGTCAACATCCTCATCCACAACCCGAGCTACAGATCTTCGCAAGAACCTTAAATATTGTCCTGTGTTGTAGCTTCACCAGGCTGACACTTCAGGTTTAGGTATGACTTTTTGCACACAAACAATTATTCAGCTAGTGTTGCCCAAATGCAATAAACGTTATGTTTTGGGTTTTTCAGATTTGCAAATGGGCGAAAGGCTGCCATCTTGAACCTGAAAAGTACCATCTATCTCAAATTAACCTGGAAAGGCAAGGAATCTCAAAAATATAAACAGCAGGTTTAGCAAGCCATTTCACCATGCTTCCACTCAGTGGCTACATGATTAGCATTTTTCACCAACAGGAGGCACTGACAGGACAAAAACACATTCTACCCAATGCACAATACAGCAACGGCATGAATTAATCTCAGTTACAGCTCCATAAGCCATAGTCCCGATGACTGATTGATCGAATCAAACACCATGTTCCTTCAACTGATACAGAGAGCACAGACTATATTCAAACAACCTGTTCTTACAAAACACAAAACAAAATGCTTGCTACCAGATGTGACTCTGCAATTGAGCATCACTAGCAGGACAATCCCTAGTGTGCTAATAGACACACTGATAAGATCATCAGTTCAGCTCATAATGTTGCTCGTTTATTCTCATTAACAGTGACATGTTCACACTCAGAGATCATTCTCTGCAAACTAAAGGAATCTGTTCAAGTCTCATATCTTTTTTGAATTAGCCAGTCTAGGCAGCCCACAGAAACACTTTGACAAACAATCAGGACATTCTCCTCCTGTAGGATAAATTGTTGTGATTGTTTGAAATCTGACATTCTTGAGTTTATCTTGGTGAGTGGAAGATAAAAGGCTGCAACAACCCGTCTATTTTATTCAGGAATATACAATAATTTACACTTTTAAAACAAAACATCTATCTACAAGTTCAACATCTTTGAAAGCAATGACAAAACACCTCATGTTCTCAGTTTAATTGTAACCGCAAGTCCAATGGAATATTTCAGATTGAGTTCAATCAAACTACAATATTTTCTCACAGTATAGATGTCTTTCTCAGATAAAAACAGAAAATGCTGCAGAAAATCAGCACATCTGGCAGCAAACAGAGTTAACGTTTCGAATGCGGTATGACTCTTTGTTGGAACTGGAAGTTTTTCTCGGCTACCTCACTCCGATTATGGACGTGACCCCCAAAATTATAACTCAACGTCCCAGAGGCTACCAATTTGCAGAAGTTGCTTTAACAAAAGGCTAGCAATGTAATGATGATGATAACATAACAGTGGTACTTCTTACCATGTGTGGCCTGGGTAAATGAAGTGCAAACTGCAGACTGTGATTGGGGAATCTTTGCTCTGCATGCAGCCTGCTCTGTGTTACAGACTGATTCGATCCCGACATGATTCGAAACACTGGTTCAATCACTTCTAATTAGTGAGAAACAAAACCTCTCGAGTTAACTGCACCAGGATCCTGCCAACCACATTCAAGCTCTGTGAAAAACAGGAGAAAAGAAAAACTAAATTTCACTTCAATCAAAGCACGGCATGTATTTACTAGTAAAAGACATGATTCCAAACAGATGGCTTGGCCAAAACTGTCCCAAAATAGTTTTATTCTGAGTCACTACTTGACACAGTTACAAACCTGGGTAAAAAAAAACACAAATATTGCCAAAATATTTTCCTGTTTTTATTCCATGAAACACTATTTCAGTAAGATCAGACAGTGTGCCAGAAGTGGTTCAAATTCCATCAACCTTTTTTAAATATATGGGGAGCAGCAGGATGAATTCCATTACCTCAGCAAAGTTTAAATTCCATATCTTGAACAGGCCAAGAGAATTGGGCTGTGCGACTATTCAGGATTGTTTCAGAATGAGTCACTTGACAAATAAACATTTCCACTTTCTGAAGAATGAATGACACCTCCAAATGACTGCTCACCAGTTAGGTTGCTTAAAATGCAATCATTTATACAGCCTGCATTATCATCACTGGACTTTATAAGACATTATAGTTCAAATATCTCTTTCAATTCAAAGTAAATGCAGCTGTGCAGAGCGACATGTCACCTCACACTCGTTCTGTCTGCAATATGGCCATGAGTCCTGGTTGCCACGGGTCAGAGGCTCAGGTCAAGCTCTATAGAGAGCAAGGTGCCAATTATTAACAGCTGGAGACAAAGGAAAAGCCTTACTATTTCCCCAAATATTGAGTGAGAAACCCTGGACAGCAAGAGAGAGGGTGCAAGGGAGAGAAGAGGAAAACAGCAGCTGCTGTGAACTGCAGAGGACCAGGTGATATTCTGTTGTGAACCAAGGCAGGATGATGATGGGAGCTCATTTTCAGGGTGAGGAGACAGGCTCAGTGAAGGCTTAAGGATACTGAGGATTCACCCAGGCCTGATCAGAGCAGGTTTTGCTGCTGGGAGTCAATTTGCTGATTGACTGAGGGAAATGACATTAGATGAATAGGGGACACTAAGGTACACCAAAATGAAGAGAAATGAACCTGCTGAAAATGGGAAGTGACTTTGCATTGGTTCCTGTAAAGACTCTAATTGTGCTGTGTAATGTATAAACAGGGTGTGGGGTTTTCAGTCGTGTTAGCAAGTGTGGACAGCTCTCCTCTAGTTCAGTGTATTAGGTGTCTACAAAATAATGCTTAGTTAAAGTTGATTTGAATTTGCTTGTTAAAATAGTCTTAAAATGCAGAACTCTATTGTGTGATCATTTGAATGAGATTCTGGGAATGCAAATAAAAGAAAAGTACTTCAGACGCTGGAAATCTGAAAGGAAAATGAAATGTTGGAGAAGCTCAGCAGGTCTGGCAACAGCTGGGGAGAGAGCAACAGGGCTAACATTTCGAGTCTGTTATGACTTCTTCAGAAGAGAATGCAAATCTGAATGCAAAGACAGAGTCAATGGAAGAGAGGGTGGTTTTCGTGATGGACTGGGCTGCGTTCATGACTCTGTAATTTCTTGTGGTCTTGGGAAGAGCAGTTGCCATTCCAAGCTGTGATGCTTTCTATAGTGCATCCATAAAAAATAAGAAAAGTCATCTCTCCCATAATGTGGATTCCAGAACTGCACGTAATACTCTAGCTGTGGCCTAACCAACATTTTATACAATTCCGGCATCACCTTCTCTTAAACGCTATACCTCAACAAATAAAGGCAAGGATCACATTTGCCCATATGGTCGCCATACTTAAGGGAGGATGTGAATGTATTGGAGATGGTTCAGCAGACGTTTACTGGATTGATTCCTGGAATGACTGAGTTAGAATGAAGAACAAAGAAAATTACAGCACAGGAACAGGCCCTTCGGCCCTCCAAGCCTGCACCGACATGCTGCCCTTCACAACTAAAACCCCCTACCCTTCTGGGGACCGTATCCCTCTATCCCCATCCAATTCACATATTTGTCAAGATGCCCTTTAAAAGTCACTATAGTATCTGCTTCCACTACCTCCCCCGGCAGCGAATTCCAGGCACCCACCACCCTCTGTGTAAAAAACTTGCCTCGTACATC